AAAATCTTCACTATAACCTTATAGTGAAGTTGAGATCTAAGACATAGAATTCGTTATAACAAGAGTTAACTGTATATTATAGATTAATATATAAATACAAAATAAAATATAACTTTATTAATATTAATTCATTTAAAAGGAAATAGCTATTATTTAATTTGTCATATTAAGACAAATCCAATAAGTTTTAATATATCATTTATCAATTACTAAATACAAAATATCTCAAAAAATTTGTTTTTTTATTTTTTTATATAATCTATGACTAACTTATAATCTGATATTTTATATTAAATTAAATCAAATACCTAAACTGATCTAATTTTATATATTTAGAACTTTAATCTTAATAATAATATTTTATTAATTGTAAGAATAAAAACTTGTAAAATAAAGATAAAATAAAAATTAAGCAAGATGAAAATAGTATTAAAAGTTTTAAATTAGTAAAATAATTATATAATATATATAATAGTAATCAATAATTAACATAAAATTAGAATTCTAATCCATTAAAACTTTTAATAACATATTATTATACATCATAATTTATATCATATCTGAATTTTAACACATATCTAAAATCTATAATTATTATAATTTTAGAGAAACTTATTTTTTGGATTAATGTTAACATATTTATTATACTTTTATTTATCACCTATTAGTATAATCTATTACAAATTTTAAATACTAAAATTAATATTAATTCTAGCTAATTCTAGTTAATTTACTTATATAAATTAATAATTATAAGATTTAGCATTAAAAAGTATAATTCTGATCAGAATTAATGATATACTCAAATATTTTTATTTTTGAAAATTTGTGTAATTCTTGTGTGAAACATTTTAATAGGAAATATAATTTCTTTTTTTGAAAATCAGTATAATATCATATGATAAATTCTGAGATTATTATAGATAAAACATGTAACAGAATGTTAAATGTACATTTTTTTTAGTAATATTTATCAAAAATTTTATTAATACTTTACTTTTAATATAATAATATTAGAAGTTAAAGAAAGTCTGATTATATAAATTATTAAAATATATTTTGTTAGCTAATAAATCAATTTTAATATATATTATTAATTATAAAATAATAGCAAATTTATACATAGTATAAGAATATTATTAGAAATTTGATACTTAAATAAAGTTATATGTAGAGTTTTAATAATATTTTTTTAGTTATAAAATTTTTAATTTAACTATTATTTTTATACAAAATATTTAAAAAATGTGTTGAATATTAAGTTATATAAAAATTTAAAGAATAAAGATATATTTAAACCAAGAAATAAAATTGTAAAGATTTGGATATATTATTAGCAATAAGTAGGATTATAAAAATATCATAAAATAGGTATACAGTTAACTCTTGTTATAACGAATTCTATGTCTTAGATCTCAACTTCACTATAAGGTTATAGTGAAGATTTTAAGAGATTTGATTGGCCAATTCGCTATAACAAGAGTATTTTTATTATATTTGTTCAAAAAATTCGTTATATCAAGAGTTCGCTATATCAAGAGTTGACTGTACAAATTAAAATTTCAAACGTATTTTTTCCTTTATTTAATGTAGCAGTATACCAATTCAATAGTATATGCTTTACATAAAACAGATTAAGATCTATGTTAAAATTGTATTTGTAAATTAAAATTTATCACACGTGATGTTAAGATTGCTTAATAAATTTAACTTCATAAGTTTTTGAGTATTCCATCAAATGCAAAAAAATAATAAGCTTACGTTATATTTATGTTAGCTACTTAATAAAGGATCGTTTCTTATTGAAGTTAAAAGATTGATAACCTTATTAAAAAAATTTTTAAATATAAAAGAGCCAAATTTACACAAGATCGAATAATTACTTTAATAAAATAGAATATAATTTCAGTGGAGTAAATGTATTGCATTTTTCTGTGGAATTGAAATTTATTACTTGCAGAATTTTGTTGTAATCAGTTAGTTTTCGGTAGCAGGAAATCAAATGATATGCTTCGATACATCAGTATAATTATACTTTGCATTTTATTGTTAATGAAATAGTCCCGAGTATTAAATTCAAATTTGCAGAATAATACACATTTTGCTAAAGATTCTGTTTTTACGTATGTTTGAGAAAAATATATGTAAAAGATCTATTTATATTTCCATTAATGCGTTGTTATAAGAATAGAATTCCTCAACATAAAAGAAGTAAATATTAAGGGATAAGGGATAATATTTAAGACATTTAAACCATCATTTAAATACAATAACGAGTATTAGTTTCTTATTAATATTTGTATGATTTATAATAGTTTGGCTATTTTTCCTCCAAGTTCCTCCTTACATGTTAGTTCTGTATTGTGGCTTAATTTTTTTTTTTTTTGCTTAAGCCACAAAATTAAATATACCCAATGTTTAGTTTTTCTTATGTTAATTCATGAGCGATTCTCATCATTTCTTTCCAATCGTCCTTTGTAAATGATGGACTTTCTACAACATGTGGTATACCTTCGCTAATTCGTTCTTTAGGCAATTCACTATCCAAATTCACACTACTCAAAACTTCTTCTCTCAATCCCAATTCATCTTTTCTTTTCTCCAATTCAGTACCTCTCAGTAACATTAAAGGCCATGCAACAACTCTCTCAGCGCCCAACTCTTTAACAAATTTAATACTTTCTTTAAAACTCTCAATAGTCTGAAATGGTAATCCATAAATCAAAGAAATCTCAAATTTAATATTATGTTTGTTTAATAATAAAGAATTTTCTTTAACTGATTTTAAATTATTCATTCGTTGAATAATTAATGATTCTTGTTTAATTATGCTTTGCACACCGAATTCTAATTGAATATTTGTATTTATTTCATTAACGAGCACTGAACATTTTTCTATAAATTGTGGTTTAATCATTTCAAATCGAGTTTGTAAAGATAATTTTCCTTTGTACTTATATTTTATTAAATTATCTAATGTTGATAAATAATTTGGACCGGAATTAAATGTGGGATCGAGAACCGCTATGTCATTCACAGATGATGCTGTTATCGCTTGAATTTCGGAGAGAGTCCGTGGTGTAGAAAGTGGTTGTCTGTCTGTATATGAATCACGATGTTGGCAAAATGTACATTTGAATGGACATCCACGTTGGGTTTCCCATCTTATAAATGATCGATTATTTAAAGGAATAACGGGAGAATTCACTGAATTACTTTGAGAGTTAGAATTATTTTCTAAAGGTTCTATAGGTAAGAAAGGAGACGGAAGAGAAGTCATATCTACAGCGGCTTGTAATCCTAAATCAGGATGTCCTCGTTGATGTAACCCTTTAATTTTATGTAACAGAGCTGTTGGAGCGTTAGAAACCATTGAAGTATTCAATGACGTTGATATAGATCGAAGAAAACAATTTTGGTGTGTGATTGGATATTGCGAAGACCTCATACTGACTTCTTCTAACGTGTTGGGAGTTGAAAGTGTTTCTACAACCTGAGAAAATGCTTTTTCGGCATATCCACGAATAAATAAGTCAGCATCTGGATAATAATTCTCTAGCGTATTAATTGGCGCATAAGAAATCTATATTATGTTTATAAGAATGATGATTAAATTTTGAAATTACATAATAATTTATGCTAGAGAGCTTACATACCTGAGGACCTCCTAATAAAATTAATGGTTTACGAAGATAATCAATCATTATCTTGCCTTCCCCACTTCCTTTTCCAGCAAACCCAATTGATACATGATCTACCTGCTTCATTCTCTTTCTAAATTTTTTTAAAATTAATTGTGTGTGTAACTCATTCCATATATACACACCAAAGGCAACTAAATCTGGTTCATCAACTACTAAATTTTTTACGACATTTTCACTAAATCCATCTACATCTAAACAATTTTTAACGGAATATCGATGATTATTTAAAAATGTTACTTGATGTGAATTGTATTTTTGTAAAGTAGAAAGTATAGATGCGTGTCCTAAATTTGTTAACGGATCTTTTGAGCGAATCCAGTCTAACGAAACTAATGCTATTCTTATTTTTCGCATTTTTGAATATTAGTTTAAATTTAATAGAATAAAGATTTTTGTTTTATGTCAAAGGATTTAATAAAATTATATTGTTTCCTTGATTTTAAATATATTTCGTATATTTTTAATTAGTCTTGGCGTTTTTGTGAAAGAATAAATATTATGTCACTTGACAAATACAAAAGATGGGTTGACGATCTCCATATGTCAGATTTGAGTTTTTCCGTTAGTTTACTGATTTATGTAATCATTAATTCTGATTGCCATCTATGGGCAATGTTTTTCATACCAATTAATATGCAAATTTATTATTTTAACTTAGTTTTTTTTTAATATAAATATATGTAATATTTAAATACTTAAAATTTAATAATTTACTGTAGAAAAATTTTCTATAATAAAAAACGAATGAAAATATTAAATTTTAATATATGTAAAAAAAACAATTGATTTTAAATTAATAATTTTACTTAAAAATATTGTAAATTTTTATTAACTTTTGACAAATAATTTTTTATATTTATTAATTTATTAAATTATTTTATTACAAAATTATATTAAAAGGAAAAAATTATGCTTTAAAATTATATTTTAAAAAAATAAATATTATATTAAAAAAAACCCCCCAATTAATTTACATAAATACTATCATTCTAAATCATTCTTTCAAATTTTATTTTTACTATGTAATTTGAAAACTTAACTTTTTAGAATATAAAACCTATTTGTTACTCATTATTTATCACAGCTATCAGCCTTACTTATAATATAAAATTAAGATTAGGTTAAATTAAAATTAAAGTAAATTAAAGTTAAATTTAAATTATATATTACATTAAGTATAAATACACTGGATGTATAATGTATAGTTTAATAAATTCCTATATATAATATTAAAAAAAATTTAAAATTAATTATAAATTAAGCAAAAATTAAAAAACTAAATAAAATAAATCTTATTAAAAATGTTTATTTAAAATATTATTTATATTATTAATATATAATTTTTACAAATAATAAATAGTATATTTAAATAATAAATCTTAATTACAAAATAATGGTTAATTTTGCTAATAGTTAATTAAAATAGAATAATTCACAAAAAAATATTAATACTTCAAATAATCTGATTTAAAAGTATATTTAATAAGAAAGTAAAAATAAACTAAAATATATAAAAA